GTAAAGGTACGATCCCAATAATGAATGTAACTGTACTGTATACAGTACAGTTATTGGTAAAATGTACCAATAAACTCAACAAAAAGAAAAAAAAGAAAGTAGTATTTGGGGAAGTTGTTGGATTTTATTTGTTTTGCATCAATAGTGCTGGTTACTTTGAACAAATAGAAAGCTTTCTGTAGTTGCTTCCTTTATCATAAAACAGCATTGATAGTCTGATGTATTTCCTCAGCTTTTCTAAACATTCGTGAAATTATCCATAGTCAAAGAGAAGTCATTTTTAGCTCACATGCTTAAGGACCATTCTGTGTTTTTTGTTTGTGTGCGTATAAATAAAATGCTTATGTAAATGGTTTTTGTTTTGTTTTTAAACATTAAACAGAATAAAAACTTTGGGTGATAAGCCCATGTTTGAGCTGCCATCATTCTGAGCAACCTTAGAAATAAATCACTTAGAGTTAAATTGAAAGTTTTCCTGAAGCCATAACCTTTCAAGTTAAACAAATGATTCTGTGGTTAATTGGACAAAGTGGGTATTTTCAAAGCAGCCATATCAGAATCCATATCTGTATTTTTAGTCACAAAAATACAGCAATTTGCTTGCAAACTTCCTGAAAAAAAAAAACTGTATCACTACCAACAACTTCCCCACCCAAATAAAGTGACTAGTCAAAACCCAATTGCCGGTCATAGTGGCGCATGCCTGTAATCTCAGCACTCAGGAGGCTGAGGCAGGAGGATCACTGTGAGTTCAAGACCAGCCTGGGCTACATAGTGAGTTCCAGGGTAGTCTCAACTATATAGTGAGACCCTGTCTCAAACAAAACAAAACAAAAACCGAAACCTGGTTTATTTTATTTAGCTAAGGAAGAGTTTTTAATGGAATGTTAAAGATTCCTCATGACCTATTCCCTTATAAGTTGAAATCTACTCAAAGTCAGGATTCATGGATGTCTAAGACTTGGCACATGGAAACCTACTGAGTGGCTAGAGGTGGTCACAGTATAGAGCCTGGTAGAATAAATGAGTGAACAAACTTATGATCTAAATTATTGACCTGCATGTTTTTTGCAACCCCCAACTTATTCCTTACATGTAGGCTCAATCTTTTCAATATTCGGTTTACCATGAAAAAACAGAAAAATAACTTTGTAGTAGTTAGAATGTTATTCTACTGGGTATTGTTTATTTTGTTGTAAATAATGGTGAGCAGTGGTCCATAAATAGTTTTACATTCCTTTAAAAAAGGGGGAAGAACAACAAGCCAATCTCCCTAATGAACATAGATGCAAAAATTCTCGGTAAGATCCTGGTAAACAGAATACAGAGGGTCATCAAAATCATACACCCGGACCAAGTCAGATTTATCCCAAGGATGCAAGGATGCTTCAACATATGTAAATCAATGAATGTAATACACTACATTAACAGAGTTAAGGACAAAAACCATATGATAATCTCTATCCATGCAGTAAAAGCATTCAACAAAATTCAACACCAATTCATGATTTTAAAAAAACCTGCAGAAAATTGGAATAGATGGTCTTTATCTCACCTTGAAAGGCTATCTATGAAAAACCAACAGCCAACATCATACTAAATGGTCAAAAACTGAAAACCCTCATGCTAAAATAATGCACAAGACAAGGATGTCCACCATCAACACTCCTGTTCAGTATAGTGTTGGAAACATTAGCCACAGCAATTAGACAAGAGAAGGAAATAAAATAATAAAGATAGGAAAGGAAGAAGTTAAACTGTAACTATTTGCTGGTGACATGATATTCTATATAGAAGACCCCAAAACTCTGCCAAAAGACTTCTAGACTTAATTGACAGATTCAGTAGAGCAGCTGAGCTGGATGCAAAGTCAACACTCAAAAATCAATAGCCTTCTTGTACACAAATGACAGAATCACTGACAGGAAAATTAGGGAAATAGTCCCTTTCACAATAGTATCCAAAAAAATGAAAAATCTAGGAATCAGTTTAATGATGGAAGAAAAAGACCTCTACACTGTGAACTATGACACACTGAAAAAAGTGATCAAACAGGATATAAGAAAATGGAAAGACATCCCTTGTTCCTGGATAGGAAACATGATCATAGCGAGAATGGCCATACTTTCAAAACTGCTATACAGATTAAATGCAATCCTGATTGAAATTCCAACAGTATATTTGACAGAAATAGAGAAAATAATCCAAAAATTCATTTGGAACCAGAAGAGACCTAGAATAGCAAAAGCCATTCTAGGCCACAGAGACAAGACAAGGGGTATCACAATCCCCAACTTGAAATTATACTACAAATTCACTGTAATAACAGCATGGTACTGGCAAAGAAACAGACCCGAGGATCAGTGGAATAGATTAGAAGATACAGAAAGAACTCCAGACGAACTCAGCTACCTCATCTTTGACAAAGGAGTCAACCATCCTCACTGGAGGAAACATAGGGTCTTTAATGAATGGTGTTGGAAAAACTGGATTTCAACTTGGCAACCATTAAAACTAGACCCCTATCTTTCACCATGCACTAAACTAAAATCCCAGTGGATTAAAGACCTAAATATTAAAACAGAAACACTAAACTTGTAGGAAGATAAGTTAGGTAGAACTCTTCAAGACATTGGCATAGGAAAAGACCCTATGAACAAATCCTCAGGAGCATGGGAACTAGCACAAAGAATCAACAACTGGGATCTCATCTTCTTAAAAAGCTTCGGCAGTGCAAGAGAAACCATCAACAGAGCTAAGAGACAACCTACAATGTGGGAAAAAATTTGTACCAATTATTCCTCAGACAATGGTCTACTATCTAGAACATATAAAGAACTCAAAAAAATCAGGACCCCCAAATATAAAGACACCATTCGAAAATGGGCATCTAAAATGAACAGTCATTTCTCAGAGAAGTAAAATCAGAAAATAAACATAAGAAAAAATGTTTCACATCACTGGTCATTTGAGAGATGCAGATGCAGATGAAAACAATGCTGAGATTTCATCTCATCCCAGAAAGAATGGTCGCTATCAAGAAATCACACAATAACAAATGTTGGCGGGGTTGTAGGGAGAAAGGAACCCTTTTCCATTGTTGGTGGGAGTGCAGACTGGTGCAACCACTGTGGAAATCAATATGGTGATACCTCAAACAAATAGGGTTAGAAGTCCCATGTGACCCAGCTCTTCCACTGCTGTTTATCTTCACCTCAAAATTAAAAGAATCATACCACAGTGATATATGCACACCCGTGTTTATAGCGGTACAGTTTGTAATAGCTAAAGCTTCGAAACAGCCCAATTGCCCATCAACTGGAGATTGGAAAAATAAGTTGTGGGCTTTTAAAAAATAAAATGGAGTACTACTCAGCCATAAAGAATGAGAAACTAGAAACATTTATAGCTAAGTGAATGCATATTGAGGAAATACTCTTAGGTGATATTAATAGGACACACATGTGTAAATACTGTATAGTTTATCTGGTGTGATAAATTAAAAGTATAAACAAGTGTCAAAATGTATAATTGATATTTTGCAATAGGAAGAAAAGGTCTAAAGGTATTGGAAAAATGGGAGGGTTAGGGGAAAGGTAAAAAGGGAAGAGAAAAAATAAGAGAAAGGTTAAAAAATGGAAACAAAATCTTTTTAAATAAAGAAGGGTGGAGGAGCTGAAGAGAGGTCAGGGGAATTGAGAAAAAATAAGAACCAAGAGATCTGTCATGTAAAGGTATAAGATCTCAGTGAGGAATGTAACTTACTGTATATCTAAAATGTACCAATAAAAATATATTCAAAATTTTAAAAATAAAGGATAGCAGGTGAATGTGGGGAGGGGACAGAGATGTGACCAGCCAAGGTATTGTAGAGCAGTGTAGGAATATTCATTTAGTATTGAGTACAGTGGGAAGCTATTTCTGTTTTTCTTTTTAAAAATAGGGACTGCCCCAACATGGTTCAAATGTCCCAATAATATAAAAAGGTTTACTCTGATCTTTCACCCTTGTATCTATCTAGCAAGCACTTCTACCCTTGGAACCATTTTCAATAGTTTCTTAAGAATGTTTTCTGAATTTCAAAGCATCTCTCTCTATATGTGTGTGTGTGTGTGTGTGTGTGTGTGTGTGTGTGTGTGTAGATGTTTTGCCTTTATTGTCCCCAAAGGTACATACCTTATACATTACTGTATACATTTTTTATTTAGTAATGTATCTTGGAGATCTTTCCATTTTAGTGGATGGCTGTCTTTCTCTTCATTTCGTTACTTGTCTAGTGCCCCATTATATTGCTGGTACCATGATTCGTGTAACAAGTCCACAGCTAGCTAAGGATTTTTATCACATACTGTGATTATCATTTGAAAGGTGATTATAGATGCTGGATAGAGAATGAGATGGAAGGGACAGGAGTCAGCGACCATTGGCATCTCCTAATAAAAGAGGGTACTGGCTAACCCAAAGGA